GTACGCACGTGTTCCCGCTCTTAATATCTGTGATTTGAATATATTATTTAAATATTTTAACTGAAATTTTCAGTTTTTTTTTTTAAATATTGTGTATCTTTGTGAATAATTTATAATGTCTATTCGTCCTGACATTCACTCCCAAGCTAAAAAAACAATTTTCAGTGTTTATAAATATTTTAAAAAATTGTCTAATGACAAATCAAATCTTGAAGTGGCCAATTTTTTTAAACAAGCTCAGCAAATGACTGCGGAGGCATGTGAAGTGAGCATTGCGACTGTGAGGCGTATAACTTCTGAGGCATCTAAGTCTTCGTGTTCTGAATCTGAGGAAGGACCGAAATTTACGTCTCCCCGAAAAACATTCAAACTTGTGAAGTATGCGACTGACATCGACGATTTTGATGTGGACATTGTACGGCGGACAGTGCATGAGTTTTATGATAACCGTTATGATAAGAAATGGTTTATTGATATGTTAAACCATTTGGAGGAACCTTGCGTTATTGTAATGGATAATGCATCTTACCATTCTGTTCTTTCTGTCAATTATCCAAAATCAAATGCTATAAAATCAAGTGTTCAACAATGGCTCAGAGAAAACGGAGTAGATTTTTCTCCATTAGAAACACTGAGTGAATTACGGGAACGTGTAAAGTCATTAATACCCAAGGAAAAAAAATATGAACTTGATGAAATTGCACTTCAGATGGGCCATGAAGTTGTACGTTTGCCGCCATACCACTGCCAATACAATCCTATTGAGTTGATATGGGCACAAGTAAAAGGGGAAGTCGCTAAAAACAATAAAACTTTTAAATTTGACGATGTCGAAAAATTGTTAAACGACGCAGTGGCGTAGCCAAGTGGGGGGGGGCTAAGGGGGCTATAGCTCCCCCCCCCATGGGCCGTGTTTATGTGTATAGTGTACCGATGTATAGTGTACCGATGTATAGTATACTACTATTTTTTATTTGAGTGTTTCTACCGTGATTATCACTATCCTTTTGGTGGTTATCATGCAAGGTTATGTAATGTATTATAATATTTATAATATTAACCTTGGTTATAATCACGGACATGTGGTTATAATGAATGTTGTAATCATTTTATAATCACTATAGTTTTTATACCATGTAATGTATATTATAGCCTGCTGCCTTGATACCGCAGCAGCTGATCACCTCAATATCGCCAATATTGTTCTATGATATCGCAAATTAATATTATTAATCGTCGCTCTGATTTGATAAGGATAACGTCCCTAGATAATAGATTTTATGATTACCTTTACTTACCCACGTCCCACATTAAAATTACTCACATGTGACTTGTGAGTTGTAATGACTACTGTGTTTCTAAGAACTTGAAAAAAATTATTTTTTATTTAATACTTATACAAAATGGCAGAAAAAAGACAAAATCTATTCACCATTTTTAATATAAAGAAAAAAAACCATGTACAGTTGAAAACAATGTTTTAGTCAAAACAGTGTCGTTAAGTCAAGTTGATAATGCTATCGAACCTAATATAATTACAAAAGAGCCAGAAGTAACTGAAATATTACAAGACAATGAAAGTCAAAATGAAAATGAAAAGGTAAGAAATTTAAAAAGATGTACCTAGCATGATTAATTATCATATTATTATTGAATTTATGCGCTTTTATATATATATTAGAAGATCTTGATTTTCTTATGTATTTTAATTTATTCCTTAGGCTGTATGCAAAAATGATATTGATAATTTTGTAGTTCAACGGAAATTAACTAGCAAAGAATTACATGCATGCTTAACGCTAGAATGGGTACCACCGGCCAGCTATATCTTTCCAGAATATGTAGAAGGTAAACAAAAAAGAAGATTTCTTCACAAATATCTTGCTCAATTTCCATGGCTAGCTTACAGTCAAAAACATGAAGGTGCTTATTGTAAATTTTGTGTAGTTTTTGCTTTTTCTGGAGGAGGTGTAGGCCAACAGGTAAATATAATATTATAAACCTATAACTAAAGACCGGATTTATATGCATTTAAAATGTTAAAATATGCATGCAAATATGCACTTAAAAAGTTCTGAATATGCACTTAAAAATCATAAAACATGAAAAATAATTTTTGATTATTACAGCTTTTTATTTATGGTAAAATTATAAAATCAAAACATTTATGACGAAAATATGCACTTAAATATCACAAAACATGCAAAATAAATTTTTATTACCTATTACAGCTTTTTATTTATGGAAAATTTATAAAATCAAAACATTTATGATGAAAAAAAAATAATAAACTACAATATTATATACAATATATTTTATGAATTTATGATTGTGATAAAAAATATATAATTTATTTGTTATTGGAAAAACAATAAGTAACAATAATACGAGTATGTTCCATATTGATCTCAGTTAAATTATGACGGCGATTTGTGACAATATGTTTGTATGCAGAAAAACTTCGTTCCACATCAACAATTGTTATGGGTGCATATTTAAAACTTGACAACATTTCCGGGGAAAAGTGTTTGATAGAAGAACTTAAGTCAACATTCTCACCTTGGTGTATTTTAGAAATTTCTTGCAAAATTAGCAGGCCTTTGTTTTTTTTAATAATGTCGGAACATTTTTTTTTAATTAATACGCTATTTTCATTTTCTGAAAGATTATTGATAGCATTTGTAACTTGTTCAAATATTTCTAAAGCATTTATGAGTAGCAAACCTGAAGTCTCAAGCTTTTTAATACTTTCAACAATAACCGAAAAATTTGTTTTAATATAAGTTAAATCGTTAATTATATTTGATTTAGTTAGAATTTGCTTACAGTTTTTAATGCTTTTTACATCGTCTTCTGGTAGGCTTTGTATAACATTTTTAAAATTTTCGAAATTATCTGCATAAAATATTGCTGATTCTAACCAAGCACCCCATCGTGTTATTATAGGTTGGGGCGGTAATGGTTTATTAGGTAGCATTTCATGATATAATTGAATTCTATAAGGAGCTTTCAAAAAAATCTTTTTTCCGTTGTTAATTAAATCGTTTATTTCATGAAAAATATCCATAATATTTTCTGCAATCCGATGAATCCCGTGAGCAGCACAAGTCACATGAATAAGATTGGAATAAAATGGTTTTAAATTTTTGGCAGCCTTAACCATATATGGGGCTGCATCGGATAACATTAACAAAACTTTTTCGTCATTACCTCCCTCTGGCCATAATATTCTAAGACAATCATTTACAAATTTTGCTATAGTATTATTGTTTGTTTTTTCAAGAACTTTAGATGCTAAAAGATAAGATTTTGATGGTGAATCAACATTTAACTTTCCAACAATAAAATTCGCAACATATTTGCCTCGTGGGTCAGTAGTTTCATCGATACAAAAATATATGAATGAACTTCCTATGTTTTCTCGTATTTTTGTTAAAATATCTGTGTAACATTTGATTACATAATTCTTTCTTAGGGTACTTTCATCAGGTATATGTAGATGAGTATATTTCTCCAAAAAAGACCTAAAATTGGTATTTTGTAATTTATGCAGTGGTATGTTAGAAGAAATCATAGCTGAACAAAGTTCTTGGAAAAATACTGATTGATTTTCACTTGAAGTTGACTGTTGGTTAACGAATGTTTGTTTAGAAGTTGGAGTTTTTGAATATTTTTCGTGTGAAAATGACTTAACATGCTGATCAATTTGAAACTTTTTTTCTACTACGACTACTTTATTACAATACTGACAAAAAACTGAATTATTATTTAAGGTTTTGAAAACCTCACCTGATTTATTATACGGTTCAATCCATTTTCTAAGTGATGGTAATTTTGAACTTGGAAACTTTGGCATTGTAATTTAAAAACACAAACAATGTTATATAAAATTAATATGTGTTTATTTAGAACTACGTTGACGTCGTTGACTATTGCCGAATGTACACTTCGAACTACAGTCGTTAGTCTGTCAGTCTGTGTTCTGTAGTATAAATAAACGATAGTCGATAACTTGATAATGTTAGATAAGATAAAACTATACGACGGGAAAATCAGTATACAATCTGCCTATTATATTTTTAAAAATATTTTCAATTTTTGTGTTTTGAACAAATTTGTGTATAATAATGGTACATACAGTTATAAAATTAAATAAAAATATTTAAATATATACGTAATATGCAAAAACATGCATTTTTGTGGAAAATATGCACTTGTACCCAAAATATGCAAAAATATGCAAAATAAAAATTTGTAACATTATTTATTTAACTATGATTGATGAAAATCCATTTACTGCATGTAATAGCTTATAAAAATATGAATATGCATAATATGCTAAATCCGGTCTTTACCTATAACAAATCATTTATTATTAGTCTAATAAATATGAGTGTATACCTAATATTTTAAAATAAAAAATATTTAAATTTTATATTTCAGAAACTAGGAAAATTAGTTAAGACACCTATGGTAAAATTTAAAGAACCATTGAAGGAATTTCAAAAGCACCAAACTAATGACTACCATCTCTTATCTGCCCAGAGAGCAAATGATTTTTTAGTTAACTTTAATAATTCAAATTCAGTATCTGTGAATGTCATGTTAAACAAACATATAGAAAAAACAATTGAAAATAATAGAAAAAGATTAGTACCAATAGTAAAAACAATATTATTTTGCGCCAGACATAACCTTCCATTACGTGGACACCGTGAACAGGGTAATTTTTCAGCAGAAGAAGTTAGACAAGCTTGCTTAAATGGTGAACAAGGAGTATTCCGAGGTCTTCTTTCATTTCGTATTGAATGTGGGGATACAGATCTATTGAAACATTTTGAGGGGGCACCTAAAAACTGCACTATGATCAGCCCACAAATACAAAATGAGGTAATTGATGCTATTGGAATTGTGGTTGAAAAAAAATTGTTGAAAGAGTTAAGCTTTCAACATTTTATTCAATTTTATGCGATGAGACTGACAGAAGTACAGTAGAACAAATGACAATTTGTGTGCGGTATGTTGATACTATACATTTCATTATAAGAGAAGACTTTTTGGGATTTATTGAAATGACATCAACTACAGGAATGGCAATCAGAGATGCAATTAAATATAAACTAGAAGGGATTGGTCTGAGTATGGATAACCTTAGAGGCCAAGGATACGATGGTGGAGCTAACATGGCTGGTAAAAACAATGGTGTTCAAGCTTTAATTTCAAAAGAACAGCCACAAGCCTTCTACACTCACTGTTTTAGCCATTCACTGAACCTTTGTATTTCAAAAGCATGTGCAATTCATTCAATTAAAAACATGATGGGTGTGTGCGAGTGGGCTGCACACGAAACCGTTTTTTGTAGTGGACTGTATGAGGGAAGGTAAATAGAAGTAGGTAAAAGATATTGTAACTCCAAATAAGGTGATCAAACAATGAAAAAATGTATTATGAATACAAACAAATAAAAGAGGGTTCGAACCACTTAATATTACTTAAAACAATAACAATAACATTGATGACAAAAAAATAATTAAGTAGGTACGACCTGGTCGACCTGGTGAGATACGGACGATGACGGCGAAAATTGACAACACTGCTGGCTGATGAACGATGAGAGTTGTGGACGGCGGTGTCGCAGACTGTGCGTGCGTGACGGAGACTCACGATTACGAACAAACGTTGGACAAGCACGCCAAATTAAGATTTAAGGGTGCGACGACGTTGCATTTGAGCGTTCAACGGTTAGACCGGAAGAACTCGGCAGTTTGGGTACGCTGACACCAAACACCAGCACATCCGATTGTAAATCGGATGGCGCTCAAAGGCAAAAAAATAACAAACAAAACGGAAAGCGGTGGTTGCGGGCACGTACGTCGCAATAACGATAACGCGTGATCGGCCCGGCAAAACTGAAAACGGTACGTCGACACTGACGGTCGGACCGTGTGGGTTCGCGACGACGAATATACACAACTTACAGGAACGCGTAACACGACGCGATTTTGGACGATACCGGGTCGCATTCATTCGTTTTTCGTCATCCCAAATAAACAAAAAGCGGACAACGACACCATGATATGGACGAGAACAGAAGAACACGAGACGGGTGGGTTTTTCGTACTCGCACGCGAGAGCGGTTCAACGGCGACAACGACGGAGCAAAAAAAAACGTATTCAAAACAACGCGAGATAACGCGTCCGTGACGGCTGATACGACCGGCGGCAACGGTTGGTCGCGACAAAAACAGCTGTGTCGGCGACGGCACTGATCAGCGGCGGCCGCGTAAAAACGCACGCACGCGCGTATGAGTGTGTACGCGACGTATTGTAGTTCTGTACCGAACATTTTCTCCCCACGTTGAAAGACGAAGAACTTTCAAAATGAAAGCCGAGCTGAAAGACTGGTGTTTTTTTTTTGAATTTCGCGGTCGACCAAGTGATAATCCTCCTAACAGTTACACATACATAAAAAAAAAAAATAAAAAATACAGTGGTTTTTATTAAGCCAAGGAAAAAATCGAGGAAATGGAAAAGCATGGTCACGGTTCGATAGGCAACCGCACAAGCTTCACGACCGGACGCTTGAAAACACCGTCCTGGGTGCGCACAGAGACGACCCGTACGACTTCGTCGGAGCCCGGGTGAACGTCGATTATGCGCCCTAGACGCCATTCTGTTGGTGGCCGAGAAGGAGCTTCTACAATTACCAGATCGTCGATTCTCAAATTCGGAGACTGTTTGAACCATTTGTGACGGGACTGAAGTGTGGACAAATACTCGCGAGACCATCTTTTCCAATACGATTGGTGACATTGCTTGATGAGTTGACATCGATTCAGCCTATTGATCCTTATATTAGTGGTATCGGGTTCGGGAAGTGCATGGATGGGCTGTCCGATCAAGAAATGACCCGGGGTCAACGCACTTAAGTCATGCGGGTCAGACGATGTCGGTGTGATAGGCCTGGAGTTTAGTATACCTTCGATGCGAGTGATCAAGGTATGAAATTCTTCGTACGTAAGTACTTGTTGGCCTATGACATGTTTGAGGTGATGCTTGGCGCTCTTAATGCCAGCCTCCCAAATGCCACCAAAGTGTGGTGCGGCCGGAGGATTGAAGTGCCATGTACAAGTTAGGTGCGAAGACAAACGGTCTTGTGCCTTAGCATCACGAAACAGAGACTTGAGTTGCCGTGCCGCACCTACGTAATTTGTTCCGCAGTCTGAATACAAGTTGGTTGGAATTCCGCGTCGCGCAACAAAACGATCCAATGCAGCAAGGAAGGCATCTGTGGTCAAATCGGTGACGACTTCAAGGTGAACCGCCTTCACAGACATACATACAAACAATGCCAAGTAAACCTTGACGGCTTGAGCGTTTCGTCGGCGATGCTCCCTCACGAGAAACGGACCGCCGTAAACCATTCCGACGTGGGAAAATGGTCGATGAGGCTGGACACGAAAGGGCGGCAAGTCAGCCATGGTTGGCTGGGGCCGGACGGCCTTGTGTCGTGTGCATGGGACACAGGAAAAAATGACACGTCGCACAGCGGCACGACTGGACAAAATCCAAAATTTCTGGCTTAACATTGATATGATTAACTTCGGCCCACCGTGAAGAAAGGATAAGTGATAATGTCTGATCAACAAGTCCGTGAGATGTGATGATCGAGGCAGAAGAATCGGGTGCTTCGCTTCATGATGGACGTCTGAGAATCGTAGGCGGCCTCCAACACGTATGACTCCGTTGACGTCGGTGTAAGGCGCCAGTTGCGCCAAGGAGGATGGTGTAACCTCAGACTTGGTTTTTAACATATTTGACAAATCCGAGAAGTGGTGTTGTTGAGTCCGTTGTACGACGACAAATAATGCTGCTTCGCGTTCCGCTAATGTCAACGGTCCAAAGTTGACAGACTGGCGACGGAGACGACGCAAAAATCGGAGGACAAATGACAAAACTCGTTGCAATTTGCTGAGTGACGAAAAACGACTGAACAACTCTAGCGACGGTGATTGAACATTGACGGTTAACACTGTGGTAACATTAGGTCTAGTTTCGGGCAACTGGTCCGGACTTAATGGAGAGAATTTGGACTTTGGCCACTGTTCTTCCGGAAGCTGTAAAAAGTCGGGACCGTCCCAGTAGATTTTTGATGCCACGGTCGATCGCGGCAAAAGCCCGCGAGAGGCAGGATCTGCCGGATTGTCAATTGTCGATACGTGATTCCATTCACAATCAGGTATAAGCCGGTGGATTTTCGCGACTCGATTGGTGATAAAAATCTTGAAATATTTCTGATCTGATTTCAGCCACGACAACACAATAGATGAATCCGACCACGCTCGGATGCGAGATATGGATATTTCAGACGAAAGGACGTAGTGGGTATGTTGAAGCGTCTGTGCCAGTAGTAACGCACCACATAACTCCAAACGCGGTATGGACAACGTTTCGGTGGTAGTGGTAGTCTTAAGAGGGGCAACTTTAGTTTTGCACGTGATCAATTTGACCGACACATCTCCATCTGCATTGACAATTCGTAGGTAAATGGTCGCTGCATAACCTTTGGTAGAAGCATCCGCAAAACCCAGCAATTGAATGTCTTGCTGAGATGTCACCGGAAAACGACGAGGAAGAATTAAGTCAAAGACGGCTGGCAGCTCCAAACAAAATTGTCGCCACGTGGACAATAACTCTTCTGGCATTGGATCGTCCCACCCGAGTTTATTGCTCCACAGTAACTGCATAAAATATTTCGCCCACAATAGCAACGGGCCTAAAGCGCCGATGGGGTCAAACAAACGTGCAATGATTGACAGAACTTGCCGTTTGGTAGACGACGTTTGAGGGATGCTGGTGTGGTAGGCGAAATTGTCATTAGTTGTGTTCCAATGTAGCCCAAGAACTTTTACCGAATGTTCATCCCGTGGGTCAAATGATACGGAATTCGCACGATGGTCAGGACTGATGGACCCTAGGACGAGAGCACTATTGCTGGTCCATTTGCTCAGTTCACAAGCCCCGTTGTGGAGCAAACCGACGATTGCCTCTTTTCGACGTAGAAGTTGCTCTTCCGTGTCGGCACCGACAACTATGTCGTCAACATAAGCTGATCGATTGAGGACACCTTTGGCCAACGGGAAGAGATGACCGTCCTGCTCATCAAGCTCGTGTAAGCAACGGATGGCCAGATACGGAGCGCAATTAAGGCCATATGTAATGGTACATAACTGGTATTCCTGAAGATTCTCACTGGGTGAATCGCGCCAAAATACATGTTGAAAGACGCGATCTTCAGAACGGATTAAAATTTGCCGATACATTTTAACAATGTCGGCGGTCAAAATAAATCTGTGCAACCGACAGCGTAGTAAGATGTCACGCAAGTCCACTTGTAGTTTGGGACCAGTGCACAAAACGTCGTTTAAGGAACGACCAGACGAAGAAACAGACGAGGCATCGAAAACAACGCGTATTTTCGACATGTCACCGTCAGCCTTGAGTACGGCGTGATGAGGTATAAAATATTTGCCGGGTTCGGGAGCTAACACCATGTGGCCTAACCTTAAGTATGTGGACATAAACTGCCGATAGGCGGCATACAACTCCGCGTCCTTAGTCAACCGTCTCTCCAGGTTGTGAAAACGCTTTAACGCGATGGACCGAGACTCACCAAGGCCGTGAGGTGACGAAGTTTGAAGGTGGACCGAATTGGTAAACAAATCGTGAAACGGTAAGGCGACGCAAAATCGGCCTGATGAATCACGTGACGTAGAATTTTTAAAAAATGTCTCACACCATTGGTCTTCAGTGGTGGGTGATACAGAGGCGGCAGGTTCTTCGATTTCCCAAAAACGTGACAGTTGATCGTTGATTGACTGATCGACGGCGGTTGTAAGAGCGACTAACGGCGGGGTATTTGATGTAGAAAAGGATCCAAAGATTATCCAACCAATTTTGGTGTCCAGAGCCGATGGGAAACCCGCATAATGTTCAACGCCAGCCTGTGAACGAATGAGGTTAGGAAAGACATCCGCCCCAAAGAGGACGTCGATTCGCGCTGGGACGTCGAATTGCTTATCAGCAAGTAAAAGATGTCGATACCGATGACGTACGTTGGACGGCACATGTGCGGACGGCATGGCTGCCGTGATGTGCGGTAAAACAACCATATCTACTGTGGGAAACACGTATTTTGAATCAAAATGTGAAGTGAATTGACACCTAGTGACACCTTGAATTTGAGTAATAGGGCTTTGTCCGAGTCCAACGATGTTGGACTGGAAACGATTTCGGGGTAACCCAAGTCGAGCTGAGCAATTGTTTGTCATGGCTGAAAGTTGAGAGCCACTGTCTAGAAGTGCACGAACTGCATGAGTTTGTCCCCACGCATCCTTAATGTGAACGATCGCGGTGCCTAGCACAACAGTAGAGTTAGCACGAGCTGCACCCACGAATGACGTAGTATTTTCGTTTACAGATGTTGACGGGGTCTCCGCAGTCGATGACTTATAAGAAGTAAGATGGAGTAAGGAATGATGCTGTTTGCTGCTACACGAACGACAGGCACTTTTTGACGAGAAGGCCTTAACCATATGTGTCGGATTAAGGCATGCGAAACATAATCTTCGCGTAACAACAATATCGCGGCGTTTTTCAACAGATAACTCGTTAAACTTTGGACATTGATATATGTTGTGATCGGCGTGATCACAAAACACACAGTTTCTCGAAACGAATTTAATAGAGGACCTATTTGGCGAAGACGTAGTCGCAGCAAGGACGGATTTTGTTGCAATGGTTGATTTCCCACGAACGGGTGCCTTTTCGCGCCATTTATCGACGCGATCAATTTTATTCTCGATTTTGTTGCTCAACTTAAGATTTTCTAAAATCTTACAACGCTGTTGAACAAAGTCTAATAGTTCACCAAATTCGGGAATTGTTGATTGAGATATACTAGACTCGAATAGGCGTAGTGTGGTTGGATCGAGCACACGCGATGCCATATGAAATAGTAAAAACCCGGCCAGATCATTGACACCGATGGATTTTATAATGGATACATTTTCTTTGAAAGTGTTGACAAATTCCATTAACGCGGGTAACGATTCTTGAGCTATCGGCTTAAAAGCGAAAAGTTTGTCTAGATGTGCCGAGGCTAATAATCGTGTATTGTCGAAACGATCCGACAGTGCTCCCCACGCAATGGCATAATTTTTCGCAGTGAGAGGCACGGATTTAATAACTGACAGCGCAGAACCAGACAAACGTGAAATTAAATAATGAAAACGTTCCGCGTCATCAATACTCTCATTATTGTGTACAAGAGATATGTATATGTCGCGGAAAGATCGCCATTCTAATATCGAACCGTCAAATGAAGGTAATTCTATTTTTGGTAACTGTATGCGCGACTGTATGCGCGCGGTATTAACACCGGTTGGTTCTGAACGCACAGAAGGTTCGACGAGAACGTCGTCGGAAATCGCCATAATCAGATAATAGTTTTCCGACAGCTTGTTCCCAATAGGTACATGAATTGAGTTATACTCTTCCTCGCGTTGGAGTTGAATCAAAATTTCAAGAATAGAGTCTTGCTCGAGCGAACATTGGGTGCGCAAACCACCAATGTCCTTTTTCCTAGCGCGAAACAACGGCAGGACATCCTTATCTGTTGCAACCTTATGCGCCAAGTCACATAACAATTGAACTTGTGACACTAACATATCGCGTTTAGCGATTGTGCGCTTAAGCAACCGCTCTGCGCGCTCAATTTCACCGGCAGAAAGAGGCATTCTAAAAAGTATAACCGTACGTGAACGTTTTCGAAGGACGTCCGATCCCGACTCACAGGCGCACGCACTTACACGGTACGATTAATTATGATAACGACGGTCTACGATAGCGAAAATACACAATAAACCAATTCGTATCCGGCCCGAAGGACCAAAATGTGTGCGAGTGGGCTGCACACGAAACCGTTTTTTGTAGTGGACTGTATGAGGGAAGGTAAATAGAAGTAGGTAAAAGATATTGTAACTCCAAATAAGGTGATCAAACAATGAAAAAATGTATTATGAATACAAACAAATAAAAGAGGGTTCGAACCACTTAATATTACTTAAAACAATAACAATAACATTGATGACAAAAAAATAATTAAGTAGGTACGACCTGGTCGACCTGGTGAGATACGGACGATGACGGCGAAAATTGACAACACTGCTGGCTGATGAACGATGAGAGTTGTGGACGGCGGTGTCGCAGACTGTGCGTGCGTGACGGAGACTCACGATTACGAACAAACGTTGGACAAGCACGCCAAATTAAGATTTAAGGGTGCGACGACGTTGCATTTGAGCGTTCAACGGTTAGACCGGAAGAACTCGGCAGTTTGGGTACGCTGACACCAAACACCAGCACATCCGATTGTAAATCGGATGGCGCTCAAAGGCAAAAAAATAACAAACAAAACGGAAAGCGGTGGTTGCGGGCACGTACGTCGCAATAACGATAACGCGTGATCGGCCCGGCAAAACTGAAAACGGTACGTCGACACTGACGGTCGGACCGTGTGGGTTCGCGACGACGAATATACACAACTTACAGGAACGCGTAACACGACGCGATTTTGGACGATACCGGGTCGCATTCATTCGTTTTTCGTCATCCCAAATAAACAAAAGGCGGACAACGACACCATGATATGGACGAGAACAGAAGAACACGAGACGGGTGGGTTTTTCGTACTCGCACGCGAGAGCGGTTCAACGGCGACAACGACGGAGCAAAAAAAAACGTATTCAAAACAACGCGAGATAACGCGTCCGTGACGGCTGATACGACCGGCGGCAACGGTTGGTCGCGACAAAAACAGCTGTGTCGGCGACGGCACTGATCAGCGGCGGCCGCGTAAAAACGCACGCACGCGCGTATGAGTGTGTACGCGACGTATTGTAGTTCTGTACCGAACAATGGGGGTAATTTCTGTGGTTTCATCTTTTTTTTCTGCATCTGCAAAACGCACAGAAAAACTAAAATCCATCATAGAAGCTGACATAACTGGTAATATTGAATCAAATTAACACAAAAAAACTAAACTTAAAAAACTCTGTGATACACGTTGGGTTGAACTACATAACTCCATAATTACATTTAAAGAGTTGTATGTATTTATAGTACTGGCACTTGAAGATCTCCAAAGCGATGCCAACCAAGAAACTTCAAGTAAAGCAATGTTGTATTTAAATTCTGTGACCAACAGTAATTTTTTGGTATCTTTAGAAGTTTCAGCTGTTTGCTTTGCCTTTACTGTGCAACTAAGTATTGCTTTACAAAGCAAACAACAGGATCTATCAAAAGCGTTATCAGATGTGTTGGTTATAAAAAGGGCTCTGGAAAGTTTACGTGGTGAGGCAGATAATAAATTTAAACAAATATTTAATGACGTTGTCACAATGGGAAAAAGTGTAAATATTAAAATAAAAATGCCCCGAATATGTAAAAGACAAACTCAAAGAGTAAACTTTATTTCTGAAAATCCAGAAACATATTTTAAATGTTCTACTTTTATTCCTTTTCTTGACTATTTAATAGAATCAATGGATACTCGTTTTAATCAAAGGCTTACTGATGTTATGCCACTTGAAGGACTTATTCCGGCCAATTTAAATATGTACGATGATGAGAATATTATAAAAGCTGCTAAAATATATGGCCAAGATCTCCATGATGATACTCCATCTACACTCAGAGCTAAGCTGTTCATATGGAGGCAACAATGGAATCAAAATACTATTCCAAAACCGAATTCTGCTGTTGATTCACTCTCTCATTGCACCAATCTCCAACCTAACATTAAAATACTTTTGCAATTATTTGCCACGTTACCAGTTACTTCGTCCACTCCTGAAAGAACGTTTTCTGCACTTAATCGCTTAAAAAGTTATTTAAGAAGCACCATGTCGGAAAATCGACTGAATGGGTTAGCTATGGCTAATATAAATAAAAAAGAGAAATTTGATGAAAGTGAAATAATAACTGAATTCGCTCGAAATTCGCCCAAGAGGATGCAGCTATCAGAGTGGAGCAAGTGACTGAAATAAAAATAATTATTATTATTATTATAAATTATATTTTAATAAATATTTTTAAAACTAAACTAAAGTGCTGGAATAACATTTATTGACTTGGTAGGTGGGGTTGAATTCTCAAATCTTCTCTTATCTTAGATGCCCAAAAAAGTGTTTAGCCCTTCCCATTTAAAAATCCTGGCTACGCCACTGAAACGACGCATTGGACACTGTAACTGTTGATAATTGGAAAAAATGTACCGATCACTGCCACAAACTGCAAGACGGTATTGAATATCTTATCATAATATATATGTATAGTTTATATTATGATGTTTTTTTTATCGAATTATTTAAATAGTGTTTAAATAATCATTATACATGCCCAAGTGTTGTAGCTCAGTGGTTAACACGTTTGATTTAAATGTGTTCTTGGTCGGATTGAAACTAGTGGGAGAATGTGTGGCGCCCATATTCACCTACTAATTTCATCAGACTTTGAAGACGTTTACGGTAGATTGTATAGGTGGTTGCACTATATACCGTTTTTTTCATCAAAATTATTAAAAATAATCTGGTCGTATAAGTCCTATATTTCATTTAATATTTGATATTATCAAGTCGGATCAACACAGATATGTTTTATAATATGCTTATCTACACTACATATTAAAAGTTTACCCCTGCTTCATATTTTTCATTTAAGTATAAATCCGTTGCTATTTATGTTAGAATCTTCATTTTTACATTAAACATTTTTGATTTTAATTCTTTATAAGTCACCCTCATAGTATCATAGTGTAAAATCGTTTTCAAAGATTTTTGGATTTTAATAACGCGTGTCCGAATGGGCACGCGTTAAATATTGACCATTTTTTAATAGAACAATTCTATTAAAAAATTTAATTAATAAATGGTCTAATAAAGTCGACTCCATAATAAGGGTACATATTTTAATATTTCCTAAATCTTGATGAACAATAATATCATAGAGATATTTTTCTGAAAATTTACCTGTTGTAATTATTAAATCATTAGTTTTTTTACAAATTTCAAGCCATGTTGGTGATTCTAGAATTTTAGAAGCATAAGGCTTTCCATTTCCATCTCCACATATATTGCGACAATGATCGACAATTAAAATATTTCCTTTAATTGGAATTTTATTTAGATTATATTTCATTATTTTAATATATTTTTTTTTATAGTATTCATATTTACGAAATTTAACAAATATTTCATTATTTAATATTGATTTTTCTATTTCTTTTTGCATTTAATTTTTTTGTAAGTTATTAAAACCGTTTATAGTTGTTTCCATTATTTTATTATTTATTATATTTTTAATTTTTAAATTAATTTTTTAAATTCCTGTTTTATACATTTTGCAATTAAATATGTTATTTTTATTTTTTAATAGAACAATTCTATTAAAAATTAAATTATTAATATAGTTATATTCTAAGCATTTTGTGATCGGAATCTGTACCTCCCATACCAAGACAACATATTTTAATGTTTCCTAAATCTTGAACAACACAAATATCATGGAGATATTTGAAAAAATAAGTACCGGTTGTATTTATTAAATCATTAGCTATTTTACAAATTTCAAGCCATGTTGGCGATTCTAGTATTTTAGAAGCATAAGGCTTTCCATTTCCAGAAATATTGTGTCCATGATCGACAATTAAAATATTTCCTTTAATCGGAATTGTATTTAGATTATATTTCATGATTTTAATATTTTTTTTATTATTAGTATTATAGTATTCATATTTACAGAACTTAACAATGATTTCATTATTTAATAATGATTTTTCTATTTCGTTTTGCATTTCATTTTCTTGTAATTTATTAAAATCTTCGATAGTTGTTTCTATTATTTTTATTATTTATTATATTTTTAATTTTTAAATTAATTTTTTAAATTTCTTTTTAATACATTTTGCAATTAAATATAATATTTCGATTTTTATTTTTGATAGAACAATTCTATTAAAAAATATTTTAATTATTATTGCATTTCGATTTTAATTTTTAATAATTATGTGTTGCGAAAAATATTTTTATTATTATTTCATTTCATAAGTTTTTGCGAAAAATATTTTAAATTATTATTACATTTCAATTTTCTGATATTTTTGCATATTGTTTTTTTTTGTGATATTTTATTGATATAATATGAGCTGCGCCTTAAAGGTGCTGCGCCAGGATTGGCATACATATACTACTGTGAGTAAAACAATTAATACAAATATGTCGATTATTATAATATACAATAATAATTATATGTGAAGATTTATATATTTAGTAAACTAAACCGATCTCTCAACCATTAATACAATATAAATTAATCAAGTAGTTCAGCGATTTAAAGTGTACAAAATATTATGAATATCGTGAGTAGGTACAGTGAAATTTACATATTAATAAACACAATACAAATAAAATAAAGTAAGTTTTCAACCATTAATACAGCCTTCATTAATTAACAGCGGTTCACAGTGATTTAGTATACAAAATGAATATACATATTATGAACATAGTAAAATTGCTTATTAATGTTAAAACCAAGAAGAAAGAAATACAACTCTTAGTAAAATGTCAATTATCTAAATATTGTAAAAATACAATATATTATATATTTATATACAAACAGTAGTAATATAATAGTAATACAATTTACAGTGTACAATCTAATACTCTTTTAGTGAATAAAACAATTAATGTAATTAATACATTTTCCATTAATTTACAACAAACATAGTGAAATTGACTTATTAATGTTATTTACATCATATAATTTAGGTACATTAGAATCTTAAATTAATGTTCCATTACAAATAAAATACAACATTCAAATTAAATAAATTGTCTGCACTATTTATACAAATAACACAGACATGACATACATTGTTTGACATTAGTTACGGCCTCACATTATAGTGAATCCGCATCCAGAGAGAACCACGAGGAGGTTGACAAACTTTCTCTCCGTTTAGCCCGAAGGCAAGGTCATCACGAAGTACCTCCACACAGACCACGTAGAATAGTGGTATAACGTATTATGTTTGAAAAAACTGTTACACATGTTAGGTTTAAAGTCAACCAGACTATCATCGGGCGCATCACGTAGTACACAGACCAGTATAACAGCGGTGTAACGTATTATGTTTGAAAAATATGTTACATATGTCAGGTTTAAAGTCAACCAGACTATCACCATCATCTAGACTCGATCGTCGGACATCACCTAGAATATACTTACCACTTATTGCATCACAGAACTTCCCTGTACACGACGTTCTTGGTGACGAATCGCCCGCTGTCATCGGCGTACATGCCGACTCTCACGGACTGTGCGTTTCTCACCCTCGAAAACGCCACGTACAGCTGGCCGTGAGTGAACGGGGGTGACGTCAGTAGCAAACCTACCCTGTCGAACGTCTGACCTTGCGACTTGTTGATGGTCATGGCGAACGATAACCTCACCGGGAATTGAAGGCGTCGCAGTGAGATGGGCAGGTCATCCTCGCTACTGGACGTGAGCGGTATCTTGGGCAGGACGATGTCGTCGTCCCGTGGGTCGCCGCCCAAAATTCTCGCCTTGAAATTGTGACGTCGCAGTTGGGTGACCACCAACCTCGTACCGTTGCACAGTCGTCTCCTCGGATCGAGATTTCTGAGCAACATCACGATGCACCCCACCTTCAACGTCAGCCGGAACGGCGGCAGGCCGTCCGGTTCCAAACCGTTGAGGAACTCTGTGGGGAAATTGGCCACTTCGTCGGCCTCGTCCGTCATCATGGTGTCGACGCCGGTGTAGGTCATCTCTTCACCATCGACGCGCTCCAGCACGTCATCGTTGACACTCCTACACACTTCGTTGGTGGGACGACACTGTCCGCTCTGCTAAATCATTTGACGGGGAACGCGAGTAAGTCTTCAACGGGGAGGTCCGAAGTCAGTAGAGGCGTTAAAACTCGAAGTTTGAAAAAAATCGGAACATTTACGTTAAAAATGATAAGACGGAAGTGATAGCGAACGACGAAAAAAAAACGCGAAAAAAAAATTAATTTATCACGGCCGCCGCAAATTATCGTATATTCCCGTTGGCTGGGTTTGAACCCCTCGACCCTCGAGTCACCTGTCCTAACGCCTAACCTACCTAACTACCTACTGAGATGAAAACCTGAGTCAAATCTATGACTCTTAAGCCACGTTGCCGTCCCCGCGAAAAACGAACGCCGTTTGGAAGTGGTTCAAAGGGAGTTTGAGCGGGCGATCCGACAGCGCCGGTTATAAATTTAGCGGGAACGCGAATAAGAACCAAACGGGGAGGGTGATACGACCGAAAGGGGCTGAAACTCGAATTTTCGAAAAAAACGGCAAATGGAGCACGAAGCTCCCGGGTTTGGCGTCATCGGACAGGCCTAGCGGCCAGTCTTCCGACTACAACTACGGTCCTTATATTAGCACTAGGTGCTAGTCAAGGGACGCAGAGGCATACGACCGCCAACCGACGGACCCTCCCCACACAGCTGCATGGCCAGAGGACCGCCGGAGACTGGCGACCGCACGTCGTCTAAGGACCACGAGCACCGGACGCGCACGGAGGAGTTCCCCGGCGCGCCCGTACCATCTGGCTAGGGCATACCGGTGCCTTTTGCCACCTTGGTGAGGCCGCAATCTATCCACTTCGCTTTCCGTTTTTGGTCACGGACAACCTTCGCTGTATATAGCTCCAACGATAAGCTGGGTGAGCGCTAAGGAGAGACCGTGCATTCCCGGCCGACTGTCGCCGTACGGGTCCGCCCGGCCCCGTCACTCGGCAACTATCCCCTGACCAAGCGTGAGGTCTATAACCACATAGTATGCTCCTGCAAACTGCCACTTCGAAACCAATCCGCCGTTGGTCGAGGCAGTGTCCACCACGACCAACGTGTGAGGGCTCGGAGTTAATCACTCAACACCGAGGGGCCCCCTCACATCCCGAAGTACCATTCTCGCCTCCCGTAAGGTAAGGCACATCATTGGTGGGATGCTCGGACGAAGCTTCGTCGGCAGGTAGCCTCAGCTTATGGTCCTCCCGAGATTTGGGCCGTGTACCACGGGCTCACGGTGGGCCCCAGCTCCACCTCCCAGAGGCGTCACCAGGTGGCTAAGCCCAGTGACCGACCCGCTCTTCAAGAGGTCGCGGTCAGAACCTCAACCACGCCACAAAGGCGTCACCAGGTGGCTAAGCCCAGTGACCGACCCGCTCTTCCCGAGGTCGCGGTCAAAACCTCTCAACGCCCTAGTCCCCGAAGGTTTCGGTGCGTCCACGCCCCTGGCGCCGACCCCGACTGGTTAAGCTCCCTTATAGTCGCCTTGTACGACAAGCAGGGAATACTGATGCGGAATTCTGTACGGCCCCCGCAACAGGGCCGAGCAACACGTCCCTGACGTATGAGCACGACCCGGGCCAGAACGCGCTCGAGCGTGTTCCCCCGTTTCTGCCACTTGCGCCATACGTGCTCATCGGGAACACCCCGAGACTATGCCTTCCGTCGTAGACGGGGCAGCGTCCTGACCCATAGGGTTAGCAACCCTTTCAATTCGTACTTTGAATCATTCTATCCGTGAGTCGTTTATCTGTCCGTGCGATTTGTAAGGGCTTCTCTTGAAAAAGTTACCAAAGCCTCATAAGTGGCCTTAGACTTGAGGAAGGCCCCATCAGCCGGTGGCCAAGAAACGCCTTCGTCACTGAGGGTGCTTTTTAGTTTTTTGCGGGCATTCTTCGTACGTGGGCAAAACCTGAGCACATGGTTGACCGTTTCTGGCTTCCGGTCGCACTCGCAGATCGGATCTGACACGAGTTTGAAACTATGCAGTTTTGCCCGGAAGTCTCCATGGCCTGTTAGAAACTGGGTCGTGTAGTGATCCAGCTTCATCGGAAGATTGAACCTATGTCTTACCGATGGAATCATTTTTTGGACCAGTTACCCTTGGGCAGGGTGTCGTATCTGAGTTGCCATTCGTTAAAGAGATCATCTACACTTCCGTCGAATGCGGCGTTTGTAATCTCCTGTTTACGCTTCTTCTGTGTTAGGACGTGCATTCTTATTTCAAGGTCTAATGGCATAGTACCTGCTACTGTTGGAAGGCAGTTTGTAGACACGGTGTTGTAGGCACCGGTCATCGCCAGGAGGGGAGCTCTCTGGGCGCTTAGTAGTTTCTTTTTGCTTTTTTCCAGTCTAGTACCTGAAGACCAAATTTCAGCTGCGTAAGTGACACGAGGTAAGAAGACTCCCCTGTAGATTGTCCTGGCCGCATGTTGGCCCATGCCCCAGTTCGCGGAGCGGAGTCTTCTCATGCGACCGTACATGTCTCGCGATTTTTGGCTTACATACTCGATGTGATCCCAGAAGCTCCGTCTCGGGTCCAGGTACACCCCGAGGTATTTGGCCGTGGCCGAGGATACGATTAAAGGAGCGTCTGCTCTCGTCCCGAAGCGAACGCTGTAGCCAGGTTTAAGGCCGCCTTTAAGTGATAGGAGTTGACTTTTACTGGCGGAAAATTCAAGGCCGAACGTAAAGGCCCAATTGTTTAGAAGGTCCAAGTGTTTTTCAAAAACTGGAAGGCTGTTGTAGGCCTAGCGGCGCCAACCATTAGCAGAATGTCGTCTGCGTAGGTAATTATTTTGGTCGTGCTGGTGTCAGGTAACATGCCGTATATGGGTGTCATTGCTATTTTCCAGAGGGTAGGACCCAACTGTGATCCCTGAGGGCAACCCCTAGCGAGCATCCTCCGGTAGTGGATGCCCTCAAGTTCCAGGTCCGCCCACCTGTTGCGGAGGTACGATATCACGATTTTTGATGTTTCAAGCGAGGCGCCCAGACGCTGCATTTGCAAGAGCAATGGCGACCATTTTACATTGTCAAATGCGCCGGTAATGTCAAGGAATGTCCCGAATATGTGCCGTGATTTGGACGCATCGATGCGCTCATGTAAGCTACGGAGAGCACTGACCGTGGACTTACCAGCGGTGAAGCCATGTTGTGCCGCGAAGGAGTCCAAATTTGTCTCAAGCCCTATCCTCTTTATGATGAGGGTCTCAAGTGCCTTGCCTAGTGCCGGAAGTAGGCTAATAGGTCTGAAGGACTTAACATTACACGAGTCTGAGCGGCCCGGTTTGGGGATAATGATCAACTTGGCAATCTTCCAGCAGTCAGGAAAGATTCCATCGTGAAGACATCTGCCGAACAGGTAAGTGATGGATTCACGGAGGGCAGGCCAGGCTTTCCTCAGTATGCCTGCAGTAATACCATCTGCGCCAGGTGCACCGGTAGGCCGCATTCGCCATATGGCCGCTTTGATATCGACTGGGCTAGGAAGGTCACTGATTTGTGATGGACCATGGAGATCCATGTCACATCGGGCCTGATCGGGGTCTGCTGGGACGAAAGTATTCAGCAGGAGTTCAGCTGTCTCACTACAGTCGGATGTGAGCGATCCGTCCGGTTTGGTCATGTTAATTGGTATATTATGCATACAGTAACTGCCTTTTGCCCACTTGAATGCTTTGCACCACGGATTAGCATTCATTTCGCCGGCGAAGCACTTCCAAGCGGCTAGTTTGTGTTTCTTTATTTCAGACAGGAAGTCATTCCGTAGCCTGTTGTACGCTTGTCTGTCAATGGTCCGGAGTCCTTCTCGTCGCTTGCGGGCAAGGGTTTGCCGGAGGGTGGAGAGTATGGGCGACCACCAGATGTTTTTACCTGAGGTACCACCGGGTTTTTTGCGCTGGATAGCGCGGTCAGCGGCTGTGGCAAGCACACGGTTTATGCCCAAGGCCGTGGATTCTATCGAGCATACGGCGATGCTGCCGATTTCACTAAGGAGCGTGGTGTGGAACAGATCCCAGTCGGCAGTTCTTGTATCATACCGTTTATCAAGTGACGTGGGTTTCACCATACCGTTCACTTTCATAGTGAAAGCAATAACCCTATGATCGCTGTCAGTTAGGTCACTGACAGACCAGTTACCAATGCAATTACTGATGTTGCTTGTAGACAAGGTTACATCGATGTTTGAGGAGCGGTTGTCTCGGCGGCAGAAAGTGTTAATCTGACCCGCGGCGTTGTGTATTTTAAGGTCGTGATTGTCAATAAATTGTTCGGTGAGTCTGCCACGGCGATTTCTCGAAACCGAGTGCCAGCGTGGTGAGTGGCCGTTAGTGTCTGCAGCTATAATGACTCTGTTGTCAGCCAGAAGGATTTGATTCAACCGTTCCAAGTGGATGGTTGTCGGCTCGCTGTACTTGAAGTACGCAGAAGCCAGAATCACATAATCACAGGGCCTTTTGCCGTATGTAACCTTTACAGATGCCGCGTGGTTGGATGTATGAGTGCTGAGGGTAATGCATTGAAAGCGGTCTGTCAGGACGATGACAGCTGCGCCCGATTTTTTGCTTATGTGGCATTTGCATCTTTCAAAGGCGTATATTTTCCCGTTATTGACCAGTGGTTCCTGTACTAATAGGAAGTCGACTTTCAGATTTTTACAGGCTACGCGGAGTTGGTGGGAGGCCGTGCGGTCCCGATTCAGGTTGTGCTGAAGTATTTTAATTTTGCTGTTATTCATTAGTAAGGGACGGCACCGTTGACCTCTGTGGTGGGCATGTACTCCCAAAGTCAGTCTGGCGGGTGAGGCGCAGGATTGCGGCTGTTCTAGCCGGGCACTTTGCTGAAGCCGCGGCAAATGGAGCAGTCATATAGTAGTACTATTTTTTAATATAGTTTATTAATATCGTATTAAACAGTATTTATAATCTGTAGCAATATTTAACCCAATCGGAATCACCTAAAAACTGTAATTTATCAAGTAGGTACTACATTACAATTATATTGTAGGTTGGTCACTTTAAAATCAAGTATTAATTAAATGTTAATTATTATTTTTTTGCAAAATAAATATATATAAATACCGATATATATAATATTATAATAACGCGAATTTTGAAAAAAATCGGAACACATGATTAATGTGACCAAAAAAAAAAAAAAAAAAAAAAAAATTCCAATTATCACGGGAGCCGCAAATTATCTATTGTCCTGGCGGCGGTTTCGAAACCACTACCCTCGAGTCACCTCACCTAACGCCTAACCAACCTAACCTACTCAGATGAAATTCCGAGGCAAATGTATGACTCTTAAGCCACGTCGCCGTGCTCGGGGCGATAAAATAAAATTCTTATCACTTTCCTTATCAATAAAACAATATTTAAGAAAATCCCAATAAATCCTATCAAAAACTCAAAACCCCGAGTTTCCCCTTGGCGAGGTGGGTGTTAGTACTCTCCCGGACCAAAATCCATCAAAAAAGCAAAATCCAAAAGGGGGGAGGAGGTGCCCCCGTTCCCTAAAGTGGAAAACGGTAGTCTTCATAAAAAGAATGGGTTCCCCCTTGGTCCGAGGTCTTTAACTTGAATTCCGCCGAGTTACACTCAACTCAAAATGTGGGTGGGGGGTGGGGGCTTTGGTTCCCTAATGTTGAAAATTCATCTGGGGCCTAAAAAATTGAGATGCCCATTGGTCCGGGGTCTCTAAGTCGAATACCGGCTAAGTTATACTTCGTCAAAAATAATTACTCGTTTAATGGGTCCCCCCACTCCGCCCGACGGTCGCGGTGTAATGGCACATTTTTCCGTGCGTGCAGCCGGCTCCATCGATTTATAAGACGTTATTATCACGTCAAATAATTGAAAAACACAGGTTTTTGAATTTTTGAATCTCGAGCACTTGAACCGTTTCTGAATTTTTCGTTTTACATACCTATTATATTACACACTGAAATATCCCAATTTTCATAATATATAGAAATACGGAATAATAATAATAATAATAATGTTCGAAAATATTCGTCGATAAGGAATAGGGAGATAAGCGAGCGGAATTTATAGCGAACGCGCGGGAAGTATTGTGATTGGTCGTCATGGAAGAAACGCGGAGTGCCGTCAGCGCTCCCCGCGGATCTTATACGCGTTATTAGCGTTTTATTATATAAGACTAGATTCCGGTGTTTGTCATCCCGCCTACGGCGGAAAGACTGTGTGGGCGGTGGTGAATCTTTGTCGGCGATGCTGGGTTTTTTGATCCAGCCTGCGGCGGGAAGGGGGGGGGGGTCGTCGGGTATTGTGTTTTGTCGTGTTGGCAGCACTGGTTAAGCGGTAATTTTTGAACTCAGAAGAGTGTCTAGTCGTATGTGTGTTGAAATCGGAAATTCGGATTCTGAGTTGGAGTGTCTAGCTATCAGTCATCTCGGGTGAAAGTCGATTCCCGAACGGACAATCCACCTGCGGCGGATCGTATGCAGTGGGGGTGTATGTCGCTCGTATGCAAGTAGCTAGTCAGGTAGGCAATCCGACTACGTCGGATCGCAGACCATGCACCGGGCGTGTATGTCCGGTTCTCGTATGTGTGTTGAAATCGGAAATTCGGATTCTGATTTTGAGTATCTAGCTATCAGTCAACTCGGGTGAAAGTCGATTCCCGAGTGTCAGATGCAGTGGGGGTGTAAGTCGCTCGTATGCAAGTAGCTAGTCAGGTAGGCAATCCGACTACGTCGGATCGCAGACCATGCACCGGGTGTGTATGTCCGGTTCTCGTATGTGTGTTGAAATCGGAAATTCGGATTCTGAGTTTGAGTGTCTAGCTATCAGTCATCTCGGGTAAAAGTCGATTCCCGAGTGTCGGATGCAGTGGGGGTGTAAGTCGCTCATATGCAAGTAGCTAGTCAGGTAGGCAATCCGACTACGTCGGATCGCAGACCATGCACCGGGCGTGTATGTCCGGTTCTCGTATGTGTGTTGAAATCGGAAATTCGGATTCTGAGTTTGAGTGTCTAGCTATCAGTCATCTCGGGTAAAAGTCGATTCCCGAGTGTCGGATGCAGTGGGGGTGTAAGTCGCTCATATGCAAGTAGCTAGTCAGGTAGGCAATCCGACTACGTCGGATCGCAGACCATGCACCGGGCGTGTGTGTCCGGTTCTCGTATGCGTGTTGAAATCGGAAATTCGGATTCTGAGTTTGAGTGTCTAGTTATCAGTCATCTCGGGTGAAATCCGATTCCCGAACGGACAATCAGCCTAGAGCGAAAAGTGCTCGAAACGGCCGTTCAAATATGAAAAAGCATACAGGAGTTAATAAAATTGTATTTTTTGATAATTATAGAGAACAGTTATCAGGTGTTTTATGTTGTATTTATAATCAATGTAATCATTGTTATGTTTTCGCGGTTATAACAAATAAGTCGACAAAATCTAATTTTCTGATATTTTCGAATATTTTCTAAAATATACCTACCATGTATATTTATTTAATTATGCGAATTAAATCAAATTAACAAATAGATAATTATATTGGTGAATAACAAATTTTATTGAAATGTAATAATATCCTATTAAACGTAGGAATGTATAAATGAATACACTATACAATTTTTTATCACTTATCTTCGTAAGTACCTACTATCATAATATTTTGCTGTTTTATTGTACGACTGTATATAATATATTATGTACCTACCTACCAATTTATTTAATGTCATATGATATTTATGATGTTTTAAATTATTTAGTAATTATAATTGCATAATTATAATGGTGCATCACTGTGTTATGACTTATGACTTATGTATTATGTGTATGAAAGTGTGTGTGAAAAAATCGAACTTTTTGTCGCATATTTTCGAATTTTAGAAAAAAAACGCAAAAAACGACGCGACGCATGTATTTATTGCTGTATATAGTGATACTTACACGGTACCTACTCCCTTTTCCCTGACGCCGCTCTTTCCCGGGACTCGTCTGTGAAAAAGTAGGGCCGCGCACCTGCTATAAATTTAGCAGGGAACCCGAATAAGATTCAAACGGGGAGGTCCGAAGTCAGAAGAGGCGTTAAAACTCGAATTTTGAAAAAAATCGGAACAAAAAAATGATAAGACGGAAGTGATAGCGAAACGACGAAAAAAAAATCAATTTATCGAGTTGCGGGTTGCGAGTTGCGGGTTGCGCGTCCGTCAAAGGGCGTTTGAGCGGAGGACCGTGTCCGCCGCCTTCGGACGTTCAAAACGCGAGATTTGCGAAAAAAATCGAACCTTGAGGCGCATGTATATATATTATATGTATGTATATAGCGATACCTACACGGTACCTACTCTCGTTTCCACCCCGGGACTCGAATTTTCGAAAAAAACGGCAAATGAAGCAGTCATTACTATTTTTTAATATAGTATTTATAATCTATAGCGGTATTTAACCAAATCGGAATCACGTAAAAACTGTAATATATCAAGTAGGTACTACACGTATAGGTTAGTTAAATTGTAATGTATTTATAAAAGAAACATGTAGGTGGGTCGGTAAATGTTAATTATAATAATTTTTTTGCCCAATAAATATCGTCAAACGAATAATAATAATATATATAATAATATAATAATGCAAATTAAAAAAAAAAATGAACACTTTCGTTAAAAATGATTAATGTGACCAAAAAAAAAAAAACGCAAAAAAAAGAAATCCGAAATATCACGGGCGCCGCAAATTATCGAAAATCCCGGCGGCCGGGTTCGAACCCACGACCCTCGAGTCACCTATCCTAACGCCTAACCAACCTAGCCACCTACTCAGATGAAAACCGGAGTCAATTCTATGACTCTTAAGCCGCGTCCCCGTGCTCGCGAAAGGCGAACGCCGTTTGGAAAGCCGTCAAAGGGCGTTTGAGCGGGCGATCCGACAGCGTCGGCGAGCGGACGACCGGCTTCGCCGCCCTCGGACGTATAATACCCGAGCTTTGCGAAAAAAATCGAACCTCGAGACGCACGTATTTATGCCTGTATATAGCGGTACCTACTCGATACCCCATCGGTACCTACTCTCGTTTAAGCGACGTCGCTCCTCCCCGGGACTCGTTTTTGAAAAAGTAGGTACCCTCGCCGGCTATAAATTTAGCGAGGAACTCGAATACGTCGCCGGCGGGGAGGTCGGACGTCTCGTAGAGTTGCTACACTCGACTCTAGTCGAAAAAGTCGAGAAAACCGTCGAAACGGCGACGACGCGGCGCCCTCGGCGATCGATACGTCCGCCGGGGCACTCGTTTTTGAAAAAGTAGGGCCACGTTTCGACGTTAAATTTAGCGGGGAACGCGAATAAGATCCAAACGGGGAGGTCGATAATCCCCAAAACGCCTAAAACTCGAATTTTCGAAAAAAAATGCAAAAAACGCGCGCGACGGCGGCGCTCGTATCGCACTCGACATCCGCCGCCGCGGGCCCGCCGGGAAAAAAGTAGGGCCGCTCGCCGACTATAAATTTACCGAGGAACGCGAATAAGGTCCGAACGGGGCCGCCCGAGGCCCCCCGGGGGGGTAAAACTCGTTTTTTTTCGAAATTTCTTTGATTTTCGAAAAAAACGGCAAAAAGTGATAAGAGGAGTGATAACGCAGCGACGGCTCCGCCGCCGCCGGGAGACCGCCCGCGGATAGAAATCTAATTTTCTCATTGGCTCTCCCTTACGCTAGTTCGGAATTACTCCATAAGCTGCGCCCTCGGGTTCACGTTTTATAGTATAAGACTAGCTCTCC